CTGTGGCACTTCAGTCAGAGATGAAAAGCAAATCACCCAATAATAGATTATTGAGAACACCGTTATTCTCATCTTGACAATATGGATTACATTCTTATAAATTCTTATTGAAAATAAGTTTCTCCCAATTCTTTGCTTTTTATCTGACTTGAAAAATAATCCGAGCTGGGGAGTCATTAAAAATAAACTTTAAGGATATCACAATCCAGAGAGTTGACTGCTAATCTACAGTTAAGGTCCTTTATTGCCATGTCTTAGAGAAACACAGATTCACATGAATCTCAGAATATTTTCCCATGAGAGGCTTGATTCTACAGATTTTCATTTGTTTATTGTATGTGTATATAGTGTAGGCATGTTGAATTAGGGGAAATACGCATCTATTGTGCATGCATGTCAAGCCGAGAGGTCACTGTATGTTGTATCCCTCAGTCACTCTCCAGCTTATTGATACAGGGTCTCTCACTAAACCTGGAGCTCATGGATTGACTACACTGGTGGAACAACCAGGCCTCTGGGTCTTTGCCTTCAAACTCTGAGATTATAGGCGTGCATTGCTAAACTAAATTTGTTTTTTTTTTTTTTTTTAACATGGGATCTGGCGATGCAAACTCAGGTCTCTATGCTCATGTAGCAATTTACAAAGTGAAACATTTCCCCAGCCCCCTCCACAACATTATTCTTTTTGAAGCAGAAATGGACTTTATTAAATACCAAAAGACTATAGTCCCCTCCTGTGAGCCAGAGTCGTGGTCTCCTGCCATGGACCTGGAGCTGTGATCCCCAACCATGAGACATGGTTCCACATTCCTCAGTGGTGGACTAATCATGGAGAACATTGAAGGATGAAAGCAGCAGTTTCAGCCTTCTCTGAGTAGCTGCATTTCCCATAATTCCTTCCCCGTAGGTCCCAAGTTGTACATTGTGGTGGTTTTGCCTCTGTGTTAGATTTTATGATGGGGCAGGGGAGGATTTTGTCATTTAGAGTTTCTAACCTTGGGAGGACTGATTCTTAAGAATGGACTTTGTCTTGACTCCACACATGGTCCTGGGCACCCAGGCCCTGACGTTGGACCTTTTCCACTCCCAGGCATCAACTGGTTTTTCATCATTTTTCTATTACTCTTCTGCAGCTCCAGCACACCTTCATCTGTGCCCTACAGGAAATGTAAATCACCCAATTGAAAAAAATTTAAACAGAGAACATTAGACAAGGAGTTTTGGAAGTTGGGAGATGAAGGGTAAATATACTAAAAATACATCATATTTACAGTTTAAAGAACAGAAAGACATCCTGGGAATGAATGAAACATACCAAAGGACAAGGATGTTTCTCAAAGGAAAGTAGTGATTTATTTTATTTATGTATTATTATTGTGTGCATGCACCATTGTGTGTGACGTTGCATACATGTGAGTGTGCACTTGAAGGCCCAGGGTTCATGTGGGCTATATTTATTTATTGCTCTCTATCTTTAAAAAAGTTTTTTAATTAAATTTAGTTTTAGACAATTTTGCACATGTGTGAAATGCATACTGAATAATCAGCCCCAACTCCCTTCCACCCCCTTGTGCCCCCCACATCCCCACAAATCTCTCTCATTCATATCATTCATTTTCTTTTGTGATTCACTCAAATTAAGCAGAACTCTGTGTGACTATGGGTTTGGAGCTCTCCATTGGGGCCTGAGTGGCTCAGCAGTGAGTCTACAACTGAGGACAGTGATTCCCTTCTCCAAGAATCTGTCAATGGTCTATGTGGTTCAGTGGTACAGGATAGGGCCCCTTGAGCGCCTCCAGTTTTCTTGGATTCTGATAGGGCTGGCCCTGTGTGGCCCAGTGCAGGTAACCATAGTTGTTGTGAGTTAATGGCTGCTATGATTGTACTGAGTCTAGAAAACAGTATTTTCCACTCCTTACGCCTATCTTCTGTTACATACTTTCCACTTCCCTCTTCCACAATGTTCCTTTAGCCTTAGAGGGGATGGTATAAATGTCTTGTTTACAGCTGGGCCCACAATCATCTCTTATTCTCTTTTTCTTGGGTATCCTGCCTGGGCATAGGACTTCTCCAGACTTGGATTAGTCATGCTTAAAATACCAGACAAGGATATCCTCCCCACCCCCTGGTGCAATGGGCCTCAAATCCAATCAGAGAACACTTAGCTAGCTCCACAAAAGTCAAATTCTTGCCTGGTAGAACGCATGTCAGGTTCACAGGTTTCACAGGTGGGGAAAACCTATGTTGCTTGCCCTGTTTACTTACCTACTCCTACTCCTACCACCACCACCACCATCACTGCCACCACCACCACCACCACCACCACCACCACCACCACCACCACCACCACCACCACCACCACCACCACCACCACCACCACCACCACCACCACCACCACCACCACCACCACCACCACCACCACCACCACCACCACCACCACCACCACCACCACCACCACCACCACCACCACCACCACCACCACCACCACCACCACCACCACCACCACCACCACCACCACCACCACCACCACCACCACCACCACCACCACCACCACCACCACCACCACCACCACCACCACCACCACCACCACCACCACCGTGATAAAGCAGTCATTGAAACCAACATGCAGAGGAAAGACTTCATTTGTCTTATACTTCCGTGTCACAGGCTTTCACTGAGGGAAATCAAGGCAGGAACTGAAGCAGAGACCATGGAGAAATGTTGCTTACTGGCTTGTTTTTCCTAGCCTGATCATCCACCCAGGCCAGAGTTACCTGCCTGGGAATGGCATCAACCACAGTGCACGAAGTCTTTCTACATCAGTTTAAAAAATGCCTGAAGACATAGCCACAGGCCAATCTGATAGAGGAAATTCCTCAGTTAAGGTACCCCTCTTCTCAGATGACTCTAGTTTGTGTCAAATTGATAGAAACTATCACAGTTGTCCTCTTTTCAATTTGACACACAAAGACATCACTGAAAGCGGTACCCTTTTCATTTCTTATCCACAAGAACTCATTAATGTCACACTATAAAACACATTCCAACTTTTAGAAGTCCCAACATTTTTTTGAATTGCAAAAATTTAAAAGTTCAAATTCCCTTTAAAAATCCAAAGTCTCTTAACTGTAGGATCCTGTACAATAAAAAAATAAGTTACATACATTCTTACTCTCAGATTAATGAGCTAGAACATAGAAACCATCACATTTAAGCAAAACCAAAGCCCATCAGTGTAGCTCCAAATTTTTAGTTGAATATCTGATATCTAGGATTCACTTATGAGCATCTGGCTCCAAATGGCTAGGGAAGCCCTACTTCTCCATCCCTGCCAACGCTAGCATAGAACTTGTCTCATGGGTTCAGGCCAACTCTGTTTCATACCTGCCACTGTCCTTGATTGTCATTCCATAGTCCTGGCATCAACAATACTGGGGTTGCCAATGAAACTAAACCTGAACTGTCACCGGTTATCTCCTGGCCTGTGACACTGCCAAACCTTAGCAACTCTCCATGACACCTTCATGCCTTCATGCAATTGGGGCACCCCCCAGTGAGTT